ATTTAATCAAATTGAATTGGATTTAATCAAATTTAATTGGATTTATCAAAATTACTAAGCAAATTGGTCCTTGTAAATTAACTTTCTGGTCTGGGCTCCTTTAAAATCACGCAATAGCCCTTGGGGCTGGAGACTACTTATCGCGCCTAATTGCAGGCTTGCCTGTGAAAGCCTCCGGGCTTCTGCGGCTTCGTATTTCACCAGAAGCAGCTGAAATCGTCAGGGAGGCTCTAACCTCCTTAGCGGGGAAATCCCAGGCTCCTGCCTTGCTGCCTGCGCCGCTAATTGCCGCCTCCGCCTCCAGGAGCCTCTGAATGCTGCAGGGAGCCTCATACCAGCAACAGAGCCGTCCGCCGCTGAAATAACAACGCGACTGCCTCCGCGACTGCCTATCGTTGCTCCAGCAAGCTCTAAATGCCTGCAACTTCTTTCCTGGCTCCTCGGCCTCTCCGCAGGGCCTAAAATGCTCAATCTCACCGCGAGGCCTCGGCTACCTTGTGGTGCCGGCCCATAGGCTCTGTAGCCTCAGTGGCCATTAATTTTGGCGCGAAGATCATCCAGCGGTCATTTTGAATCAAGGAAACGTGAGTACTGGCTATGGCCTCCTCTCCTCCTCCGGAGCCTCAACTACCTCCAGCTTCATTGGGCCCTGCCCCCATCAAACCCCCTGCTTCTCGGGGCCGCAGGCACAGGCCTGCTCCGGCTCCTAACATAGAGCCCCCTCCCAGGAACTCTAGGCCTAATCTGGGGGGCGTGGAGGATGCATCTCTTCAGGAGGATGACAGGGTCCCTCAGGCCTTGGCTAAGAAGGCCAGGTCTAAGACCAAACACGCCGAACCTCGCATATTCCAGGACCAAGGGCCTATTCATTCCAGTCCCCCCCCCCCCCATTTTTCTTCGGATTCAGAGGATGACCTCTCCCCTGCATCCATCCTGCAACCCAAGGAGGCTAGGAGCACAGATGCTTTAGCCAACAGTGGGGACGATTCAGATTGTGGCAGGAGCGTCACTCCTGATGAGGATCCCCTCTACCAGAAAGATATTTCTCCCACTCCCCACCGACGCTGTTCTTACTCGCCAGGCATGGCTGATATGATCTCTGAGGCCATAGAACGTGGTATTGCAGCCAGCCTTAAACACAGGTCTTCTAATCGTTCTGCTTCTCGTAGGTCTGCTTCTTCCTCTAGTTCCAGGTGCAGGGATGGTGATCTCTCGCCTTTGTCTTCACACGAGCTGCCCGGCACTTCCAATCAACTGTTGGTCTTCGGGGAAAAGGAACGCCCTGCAAGAGACTCAGATCTCTCAGAGAATGAGGGACTACCTCCCAACCCACCTCCCTTTGTTGGTTTGTTTAAACCCGCTGTTTTTCATTCCCTCCTTTTTAAGGCCAAAAAGATCACAGGCATTCTCTCTCCGAAGGCACCTCAGAGTTCGGAAGCTGACAAGGCTGACACCACCGACCCACCCTTCATCCAGCCTATGGTGGAAAAGGAGGTGATCCCATCACCAAGGTTCTTCATAGACGTTGTCCAGAATCAATGGGCTTCTTCAGGTACCGGATCCTTCCCCAATGCTTCAGACAAGCCCCTGTTCAATGTCGCTCCTGACCTCCCCAAGGCCTTGGAGGTACCGTCTATTGATTTACCTATAATTGCCCTTTCCTCTCCCAATGAGGCCTCAGCAGCTCCAGAGGAAGCTCTGCGACCTGAGGACAAAAGAACAGAACAAACTCTGCTCAAGGGTCACCAGGCCTCAGCCTGGGCCATTAGAGCGGGCACCTCAGCTTCCTTCTTTAGTCGCTCCGCTCTTCTGTGGCTGAGACAACTTCAGGCTCGCCTTCCAGCCAGGGATTCTAGGGCTTGCAGGGACATTAACAAAATTAAGGCAGCTCTGGAATACACAGCAGATGCCTCCTTGGACATGGCCCACTTTACTTCCAAGTCCATTGCATCTTCCATCTCCACCCGCCAGCCTCTCTGACTAAAACAATGGCAGGCTGAACCGCGGAGTGGAGCTTGAGTCGCCGCATATTTCGTCAACTGTCGTCCAGGTACGGGACTCCAATCCTGGATCTCTTCGCATCATCATCCAACAACCAGCTGCCCAGGTACCTGTCTCGATACACGACTCCAGGTGCGGAAGGGACGGATGCTCTCAGGTGCAGGTGGCCTTGCGGTCTCCTGTACGCCTTCCCTCCCTCCCCCCTAATACAGAGGGTGATTCAGAAAGTGATAGAGGAAGAGGCCGAGCTCATCCTAATCGCTCCCCATTGGCCGCGCCGATCATGGTACGCAGACCTGATCAATCTGTCAGTGGAACATCAGTGGCTCCTGCCAATGATCCCATCCCTTCTTCACCACCCCGACCTACGCTGGCTACGCCTAACTGCTTGGAGGCTGAGTGGGCGGTCCTGAGGGCAGATAACCTTTCTGAGACTGTGATCCATACCATTCAGGCCTCCTGCCGCCCAGTTACCAAGAGGATATACGAATCTACATGGCAGACATTCGTAGCGTGGTGCCAGGGGCGAGGGGAGGATCCGTTGAAGGCTGCGGTACCCCAGCATAGTCATAGGTTACTAATAAGCAATCAAATCATACTAGGAAACAAATAAAAACAATATAAATTGTAGTGATACAAGCAACAGGATTATAATTATAACTGGGAGGACATAGGTAATAGGAAGGATGAGAAGAATAATAGTAATACAGTCTTAGTAAATAGTTTGTTTTGGGAATTAGTTGTTTAACAGAGTGATGGCATTTGGGGAAAAAACTGTTATTGTGTCTAGTTGTTCTGATATGCAGTGCCTTATAGCATCGTTTTGAGGGTAGAAGTTGAAACAATTTATATCCAGGATGTGAGGGGTCTGTAGATATTTTCACAACCCTGTTTTTGACTCCTGCAGTATACAGATCCTAAATGGAAGGCAGGTTGTAGCAATTGGTTTTTTTCTGCAGTTCTAATTATCCGTTGAAGTCCATGTCTGCCTTGTTTGGTTGCAGAGCCAAACCAGACAGTTATAGAGGTGTAGATGACAGACTCGATAATTCCTCTGTAGTACTGAATCAGCAGTTAAGAATAAGAATACCACCACTGTACTGTTCCACCATTGACACTGAAGTCCACCTCTGGTTTTCCAACAAACATTAGTATATTCAGCAACCTAGACTACAGATATCAGCAATAACTTCTCTCTGTTAGAATAACTAGATGTCAGAAGCTATTATAATCTCCTGAGAATTATACAAATATCTAACAATAGAGGTCAATGTAGTTATGGGCTTCTTCTGAGCTAGGCTGAAAAAATCTAGCCTTGCAAGCTAAGTTCTCTTACGTGGTTGTTATGAAATTATTCAGTTTGGGGTTTTTTACGTGACAGTTTGACTGTCTCAGAGACACAGCAGGGTGCAATATGTAGGGCAGAATCCAAATTATATTGGCTTACACATGAAAATTTAAATTTGCCTGGTAAAGAAAACTTTAACTGCCTCTGAATTTATAGTTATCCCTAGTTTCAACTCTATGGATATAAAGATATGTCTAAAGATTCTTTTTTGTTGCTGATTTTAGAACTGGTTATTTAGTGATTTCCAGTGGTGGTATTCTACTGGTTCAGACCAGTTTGCCTGAACCATAGTGGAAATCACAGGTGGTCTCGCCCATCTACCCTGGCTCTACAGCATCCCATTTAGATCTTTTTTTAGGCAAAATGCATGCGCGGAAGGCGGAGGACATGCGTGGACATGGTGTGTGCGAGCGAAGTGTGCATGCTCACTTTGCAAACCAGTAGGGAAGGTAAGTGATTACCACCCCTGGTGATTTCAATATCTGCCACTATTGTTCATTCATATATTGATTGTGCCTTAGTCACTATTGAGATAGTCTTCACAATGGGTTTGACCTGCAGCTGACTTTGGAGATAATCTAAAACTGCAGCTAGTATAAAATCTAGTAGCAAGATTATTGGCAATATAATATATATATATTAAAGTCATTTCTTCATTTGCTGTTAGGCTTTCATGCTCAATGCAAAGACTTTAAAGCAACTCCACAGCATCAGGATATGTCGGCCAACGCCTGCTTATGGTATAACCCCCCCCCCCCATTAAATGCAACCCCCATTTTACCACATATTTTTTTTCTAGGTCTGAATATTTTTATTTCATTTTCATTCTCATTTTATACAATCACTTATATACTGTGCATAAAAAAAAGAAAAAAGGAAAAAAAAAAAACCCCCAACATAACACTTCATTCCCCCATACACCCTCTCTTCTCCCCCTCCAACTTTCCAACTTTTTCTTAAGACTCCGTAAGGGAAGGGGAGTAGAAAAATGGGGTAACGATGAATTAATTGGATGCACCTCCCAACTCCGTTCGTCCCAAACCGCAACTCAAAAAGATCACAATTTCCGCTCTC